GCAGGAACCGGAGGAACGGCTGCGGTAAAAACAGGTGGATCCATCCTGCATCAGGCCCGGATCAGCCAGCCTCATCCAGAACCGGTTCTGGGCTTCCCTCTGTCGGACCTTCAAACCGCAGCTTTTCACTCAGACTCTCGGTAAACTGACAGGCCAACGATGATCGGAGTCAACAGCATCAACTCTTCGGGCCGGAACCGTTCGCGGTCGCTGTGTTCGGTCCGGAGTGGGCGGGACTCCAGGGAGTCCGACTTTAGGTATCCCAGAGCTCCGAGATCCCGCTCCCTGAAGCCGCTGGCCTTCCCGGACCTCCTGGGGAAGAGTCAGGACAGACAGCAGCACCCGCACAGCCGCAAGAAGAAGGTAGAGGTTCTCTGATGCTCTGCAGGTTTCTGAATCCTGAAACTAACAGACTTTAATAGTTTATTAAGCTTTATGTTTCTGAAAACATGCAGTAAATGTTTCTGACAGAAGATTAACACGACGTGTCCAGAAGTAAAAGCTGCAGCAGAGCAGCTGCTGAGGGAGAAGGTTGTTGGACGCTGACGAGCTGCACCTGTCTGACTTTTAAATCTGCATGGTGTCCAGCAGGGGGCGGTGTCTGTGGAGCTGAATGACTTCAGATCTTTGCACCATCATCTCAGAGAATCAACATGTCTTTAAATTAGAGTAGAAGCACTTTAACCTGATAAAGTCTGATCTATCTGCCCTCTAAGCTGAAAGCCTTTATTCAAAAACCAATCTGACAACAAATGGTTGCATAACCTGGAAGACGATGTGAAAAATAGAATAACTTCTGGGATCGGGATGTCGGTGCAGTCGGAGCTGGTTGGGGTTTCCTGCCGTCCGCCACTCCGCTTGGAAAACCTTAATGTTGAACCATTTTTTATTGTCATTCTACTCTCACAGGTACAGAGCAATGAAATCCCCTCCCCTTGGGGAGCAGTGGGCTGCCATTGTGCGGCGCCCGGGGAGCAGGGTGAGGTTAAGTGCCTTGCTCAGAGACTCAGAGTGGCAGGCTGTGGGAGTGGGGCTCAAACTCAAAACCTCTAGATTTCAAGCTCTATACTCTAACCACTAGACCTCCACTCCCCCTAACATGTTGGGTCCTCTGATCCTGGAGCTCCATCAGATCTACTGCTGCAGTCTGGTACCTGGAGGCCTCGTCTCACAGGAACCAGCTCACTTCCTGCCCCCCTCTACAGCAGCAGCCATTCAAAATGTCCCAACTTTCCTTGGATTGTCCTTGGCGGGTCCTTGGTTGGTCCTTGGCGGGTCCTTGGTTGGTCCTTGGTTGGCCCTTGGTTGGTCCTTGGCGGGCCCTTGGCGGGTCCTTGGTTGGCCCTTGGCTGATCCTTGGCGGGTCCTTGGTTGGCCCTTGGCGGGTCCTTGGCTGGCCCTTGGCAGGTCCTTGGTTGGTCCTTGGCTGGTCCTTGGTTGGTCCTTGGCTGGTCCTTGGTTGGCCCTTGGCTGGTCCTTGGTTGGCCCTTGGCTGGTCCTTGGTTGGCCCTTGGCAGGTCCTTGGTTGGCCCTTGGCTGGTCCTTGGTTGG